ATGGGTGCAGCCCAGTGACCATATTATTATATTTTTATCAATCAGCCTATGATACAGTTATATTTCTATCGTTATACCCAGATTATTACAGCTGGAGAGTAAAAGTACATCTACACTATTTAGAGATTTCCCTGCAACCTCCAGATAACTGGGATATGTAATTTGGAGATGGGTATAAACAAGTTCTTATCTCAATAATAACAACAACTCACAACTGTTTGGAGGAACAATTACCTTCCAAGCACCATAACATTCAGAAAACCAAAGAAAAAGACACCCACAGAGGACAGGCCTTACAAAAACACTGATATGCAATAATATAAGGGCTGATTTAAGGGGTGATAGTCTGATATATAGTGAACAGCACAGTAAGGAGGCTGGATGGTCACATAAAGATGATCTTTAGGTGAGAATCAATGAGATGTGTGAGCTTTTACTTCACGCTGTGCTTTGTAACGCCTCAGTAATGCATGATCACATTTAATCCAAAGGTTTTTGGGAAGGAATTGTGCCGAGTCTTTACATAATGATCCCAGTTTGGGGGCCTGTGGGCGGGTTGAAGTCGTCGTGGTGCTCAATGTCGTATTTCGTGTGGGAGATTTTGCTGTGAAAACTCTACATAAGGGCTACAGTACGTGCTGGAATCCAGGAGCTCTGGATTGGATTTGTAATGTTGTTTACTGCTCGGCATGTTTGTTGAAAAATGACACTGAGGAAAAAAGATTAAACAGATTAATGTTTAACACAGACACTGCTGACTGTGGGTGAGGTTCACAAACACATTCGCAGACTCGGTTTCTTCTCCAGTCCTGTTTGTTTACAGCACACAGTGGTGCAGAAGTGAGAAGCCACCATGTAGAAGTTTGATCACTACAGCTTGAATAAAAAAGAGAGAGAGAGAGAGAGAGAGAGAGAGAGAGAGAGGCAGAGAGAGGGATGTAGAAAGAAAGTAAGGGGGTAAATAACGTAATATTAAGAGAAAAGAAAAGAGTGAGAGAGATAAAGAGATCAAGAAATGAAGATTGAGAGATATAAAGACAGATATAAAGAGAGAGAGAGATTGAGGTAGACAGAGAAAGTAAAACATGAGTGAGAGATAGCGAAGGAGAATAGGGGACAAAGAAAGGGAGAGAGAGATTGAGAGAAAGTAAAAAATGAGTGAGAGGGAGAGAGAGCAAGAATTAAAAACAGAATGAAGAAGAGAGAAAGTAAGAAAGAGAAAAAATAGAAAAAGTGAAAGGGGCAGAAATTAAGAGTGATAGAGAGAGAGGAAGAAAGAGAGAATGAAGAGGTGTGAGTGATTTAGAGAAAGAAAGAAGGAAAGAATGAATGAAAGAAAACAAAAAGAGAAATAAAGAGAGAATTAGAGACCGTAAGAAAAAGAAGGAAAAGAATGAGCAAGAGACAGAGAGGGGAGAAAGAGAGAGGGAGAATTAGAGAGAAAGAAAAAAAGAAAGAAGAGGGTGAGTTGTAGAGAGAGAAAGAAAGATGGAGAGAGAAAATCAGAAAGAGAATCAGAGAGAATTAGAGGGAGAAAAATAATGGGAGAGAGAAAAAAGAATGAAAGACATAGAAAGAGAAAAAAGTGAGAGAGTTAGCAAGAGAGATCGAGAGAGAGAAGAAAGAGAAAAAGACAGAGAATGTGAGAAAGAGACTAAAAAAGACAGAATGAAATAGAGAGAAAGTAAAAAAGAGAGAAAGACGAGGAAAGAGAATGAAGAAGTGTGAGTCAGAGAGAGAAAATAAGAGACAGATTATAAGAAACAAAGAAAAACAGAATGAGAAAAATTAAGAGTAAAAAACAAAGAGTGAGAAACAGTAAGAGAAAGAGGAAAAAGAATGAGTAAGAGACACAGAGAGAGAGAGAAGGAGAGAAAAGGAGAGATAGAGAAAGAAATGAGGAGGGAAGAAATAAAGAGGGAGAAATTAGAGTGAAAGAAAAAGGAAGGAAGAGGGTGAGTTGTAGCGATAAAGAGAAACTAAAAGGAGAGAGAGAGGGATGGAGAGAGAAAGTCAGAAAGAGAGACAGTGAGAGAGATTGAGAGGGAGAAAAATAAGAGAGAGAATAAAGAGTGAAAGTCATAGAAAGAGAGAAAAAAGTAAGATCGAGAGAGAAAAGAAAGAGAAAAAGACAGAGAATTCGAGAGAGAGAGAGAGAGAGAGAGAGAGAGAGAGAGAGAGAGACTATAGTATTGACTCTAATCTCTCTCCCACTGCAGTTCAGTGTTTTATTTTCAGTGAAGCTCATATTTTGTGTTCAGGTATAAAGACTCCAGTCTAACTTGTAGCTCTAATCTCCTCCATTGATTCTCAATTACTCCACTCCAGTGTCCTCAGCGCACTGTGCACTGTGCCAGACTTCATCTCAGAGCTCCGCTGTTCAGTAGCTGAAGTATAGGTATAAAACCCTCTCTGTACATCGGTTGGTGAGTGAATACGCTCTCAGGCAGCTTTGTGCTTTTTGTTTGCAACATTTCAGTTCAGCAGTTATCAAATGAGCACAAAGCACTCTGGAAGGTCACCCTTTCTGATATTTTAAGCCAAACTCAGGGAAGCTGTCTGAGTTCTGCTGTAAGACGAATACATTTGATGTCTATTTTCTTTGCTTTTTGCTAAGAAGTGCTTTTCGGTAGCTGGCTCATATAAAGAAGCACGTAATGAAGTTCTCCAGGAGTGCTGAAAGCTTGTTTTTAATTGGCTGGAAAAACAATAGAAGCAAATGATAAACATGCACTGATAATTTCCAGATCATACATACATTGTTGAAAAAAAGTGAGGCAATTAGTTGATTTGATTTAAATGTGTTCAGCATTTCCACATGAATAAAGAAGATAAGCAAAGTATGGCTAAATTTAGACTTAATTATTGTCATTATGTCTAATGATTTGTAAATCAATACTTAAGAATTAGTTTCTTGCTGATTGCAATGGTGTTTTTTCCCATTGTTTTCCACTGAAACTATTTTGTCTGGTCTGCATAAATAGTATCAGACAATAAATGAATGCGGTATAAGTCAACAAGTGTTGCAAATAAATTAATTTATAAAGGTTTTCCTTTGATTCAAAGCACCTCACTCACTGACTATACCAACAAGTAGCCCAGAAAGAGTCCTTAGCTGTGGAGGACGGTCCTTGCCAGCCTGTCAGGGCTCATAGCTGCAAGGGACGTGTGAAACATGGCGGTGGCAGACGTTTGTTTGACTTAACTCAGAAGTGAGAAGTCAGAGCTTGTCATTTTTGTGCCTTTGCACATTCAAGCTATAAAGTGTAGAATAAAGCACAGATGCCTCAATGTAAATGAGTATTGTTAGCAACAAGCTAGACAGAAAACGTTAGTAATATGAATGATAATTTTAATGTTCATGATGATACGCAGCTGTGGTGTAACATATTGTAGCTCAAGTGTCTGGCCCAGGAATCCTCATAGAGTCCCTAGCCCCAAAGGAAGGTCCTGACCAGCCCGATAGCTCATAGCCTCATAGCTGTGATGGACGTGTTGGTCAAGCGGCCAGTCTGAGAAGCCTCTGAGCCAAAGTAAAAATAAACTAAGCCAATGTAAAGCGATAGCCATACCAAAACTGCATGTAGCCCCCACCCACTAACGGCTCACGCAGTGAATTAATGAAGCGTCAATAAGCTTGGAACAAAGCAGAAAATAAAAATTCAGGGATCAGGACTTTGTAATGTTAATAAGTGAAGTTTCTTTCCCATCAAATCATTCTGCCAAGGGGATATTTTACTCCAGCTAAGTAAAGCTAAATAAAGTTTGTGAAAAGATAACACAGACTGCACACGCATATTGCAGCCTCATCACAACATATTTTATGTTGCGCCCTCTGTTTCTAAGAGATTAAACAGTGTTATTCAGATGATGAACATTTTTTCAGCTCATGTTCTTGGCTGATTCTCTGCCAAGCCACTGTGTCTGCAGCAGTTCTGGAAGGAAGATATCTTTTGAGACCCAAATGCAAATGTAGGCCTAGTTTTTAAAGGTGGAGGAAGAAGCCCAACCGGCCGCCTCGAGCTGCTCAAACTTAAGTAAATCGAGTGAAATGAGAACATGGCTCCACCCCCTTTTTTGAGTGACCCTTCCTTTTTTGTGTAGCCCTTCCTGTAATGCATATGCATGAGAAAGAGTAAATTTTTTTGTTATGCCAGGCCATCACAGGGCAGGATATATATATATATATATATATATATATATATATATATATATATATATACTGATCGTGATGGACTGGCGACCTGTCCAGGGTGTATCCTGCCTTCCGCCCAATGACGGCTGGGATAGGCTTCAGCACCCCACCGCGACCCAGAGGGATAAGCGGTTTAGATGATGTGTATTTATATATATATATATATATATATATTTGAATTTAGAATTTAGAACCATTGACCAACTGTGTTTGCAGAGGGCACAGAGGAATTAGACCTCTGCATTTTACCCATCTGTGCAATGACACACCCGCATACATGCATACAAGTGAACGCACACACTAGGGGGCAGTGAGCAGCCCTATCCTCGGTGCCTGGGGAGCAGTTTGGGGGTTAGGTGCCTTATTCAAGGGTACTTCAATCATGTCCTGTTGGCTCAGGGGATCGAACTGGCAACCTTCCGGTCACAATGCTGGTTCCCTAACCTCCATTGACTTCCATTCCATTATATATATATCTATATATCTATATATCTATAAATATATATATATATATATATATATATATATATATATATATATATATATATATATATATAAATCACTGCTGAAGGAGGTTGTGTCTGTGTAATGTATTTCATTCATGTGCATACATGCATTTGAATCAAATAAACCACACATTATTTTTTCAGTGTACGTTGCAGAGAAGTGAAAAAGTCTCTTCAGCTGAAGTTATTAATACTGCATTGCTTCAGTGCTATAAACTTGCTGGGGCGTATCTCAACAGATGTTCCCACTAAACAGGTGGAAGCTTTCTCTCACAGTGTCTCTTTCTCCTCTCTCCCAGGCTTGAAGGAGCTGAGCAGAAGCTTTCTTCCTAAACTTTTGCTTCGGAGAAGAGAAGTTCTGGTAAGTCGTTAAAGTCATCTTCAGTTGTGCAGTTCCGGAAAGTCACGAAGCCATGAACTAACAGCGGTTTATACTTTGTGATGGCTCCAGTACAAGACATTCTACATTGCTCTAAAAGGTTTTCAGAGCTTCTGTTTCAGCCTCTCCTTAAGCTCCGCTCTACTGTATGTTTCCCTCACTCGACGGTAAACAAGCAAAGCCCTGACATTCGTATCCAGATCCTATAAAAAGGATGCATTAGCTGCACTCATGAAATATTGATTATCGCGCATTGTTTTCTTTTTATCCATGGTAATGGGTTTGGGTACTTGCCCATTAAACTCTTCAGAGTCCACATTTTGCCTCTTATTGTGCTCTCTGCATGGATGCTTTTACCAAGTTCAGATTGGAATTCATGGTCCATTCACTTTCAGCAAGAGATGCATGCAGTGTCCAGTCTTGCTAAGGAGAGTGGTTTATTTTGATATATTTGAGAATGTCCATCATTCATTGCTCCAGAAGGAAGTAAATGTGTGTTAGGGGTTGTGCTGAGTTGACTAGTTCACTAGTCATCTTATATGTCCAGTATTTGGCATTGTGGGCAACTGTCGACTGGTCAGGCACTATTTTAGTCGTGGAATATAGCAAATATAGCAGGAGCAGAAGCAATGATTTGGATTAAATTTACATAGTTTTCCACATCGAACAGATGAGACATGTTTGGAGTCTAAATTCTGCTTCTTTAGTTTAGAACTGGAGTGGCAAGGCTAGCACTGCTAACAAACACTAGAACTCAATAGTCACCCAAATAGCCCAAATGTTTTCTGTAAATACATCATCAAAACTTCTTTGTACCCATTCAGAACCTCATCCAGGTCTTCATTAAGGGTGTACAGACTTGTTGATGTGGTTTAGGACACAGTGTGACTTACTGTGAACTGTTAAAAATGAACAAAACTGCAAACAGCCGCTTTAGACAACAGGGTCTGTATTCATTAACCCCCGCAGGAGTTGGGAGTGCTGACCTAGAATCAGTATTTTCGACAAGGACTGTCATAAGTATGGAGGAATCTGATCCAAGATCAGTCCTGCTTTGTGAATACCAGCGCTGGTGTTGTCTAAAATGGCTGCCCATAGCGGTAAAGTTTATTTTTATAGCTCACAGTAAGTCATAAACCACATCGACAAGTCTGTGCAACTTTAACGAAGACCAGGATGCAGTTTGAGTGGACTGAGAGAAGTATTTTTACAGAAATGATTTGGGCTTTTTGGGTGACTATCGAGTGGTGTTTGTTAGCAATGTTAGCCTTGTAGCTCCTGTTTGAAACTAAAGAGTAGAATCTGGACACCCAATATGTCTTGGCTGATCGACTACATGTGGAGTAAGTGGAAAATTGGGTAAGTTAGATTTTTCACAGAATTATTACGGTAACTCAGAAGTGGAAAGTCAAAGCTCATAATTTGACTCTTTTTTGACCTTTTGACCGCATTTGAGCTAGAAAGTGGGGAAAAATCTCAGATGCTTTCATGAAACAAGTTAACTGGATGGATATAGTGCTGTGAGAGATAACGTTCATGATACATTCCCAAATATTTTTCATATTTCTGTGTCGTTTATTTGGTATGTAATGTCCTTTCGTCTGGAAATATTTCTTAAGAAATGTATTTAATTCCACTGTCACCTACAAGTTGTAAGACTTTGCTTAAAAACAAGCGATAATCACCTACAAAATACAATAAATACAAGCAATAATCGCCTCAAAATGAAGCACCCACCATTAACTACCTTACTAACTAAGGTACATAACTACTTTTATTGATGTCTGGAAAGTCAATGTTTTTTCCTTTAACCTCCTCGTTGCTCACTAGCAGCTCAACACAGTCACATTTCACACACAACAGTGTACTAGTTAACAGAGATCTGCGAAAAAAATCCTGTTTCATTATATTAATACATTAATAAAAATATCAGCCTTGATTTCCAGCTGGTGGAATGGCCACTAGCAGGGCTGCAGAAAGAGGTTACATATAGTAAATCACTAGTCAGCTGGTACAAATCAGTAGTTGCATAGCCCTTAATGAGTCATGGATGTGTTGACTTGGTGATGGCACCAAATCGAGTTTGCATCCTTGTAATGGTCAGCATTAACGGTAATCTGCATCAGGCCACGTATTTGCTGTGTTTCTCTGACCTTTGGCTTGCCCTTGGCTCCAGAGAGGCTGAGAGAGGACAAAAGGTTTTAGGGAGACGGCCAGGAAAACAAAAGCAGGTCAGCGCTCTGAGGCTGTGGTCACTCAGGAGGCCGGCAGTGCTTCAGAGGCCTGACCCCTGCCCAACCCCTCCCCATCACCTGTGACTCAGTCAGCGCTACTGGCTCTCCCACAGAGATTAGTGTGTGTGTGTGTGTGGGAGAGAATGAAGTGCTGAGCACACACATTACACGCCAGACCCTCAAGTCATGACATAACACACATATTTACACACTGGAGATTCTAGGCAGTGTGCATGTTTTAGGGCTTTCTGGGGCAAGACCATTTAGCTTTTCCACCTGACCAGACAGGAAGGCCATTTTGACCCTTTGAGAAATGTGGAGAGTAGCTGAGCTAACGTCAGTTGTAACATTAACATTTACTAGCTATTTGACACCAGTGGAACGGCTCTGATACAAATTTTACACATCTTAAATCAGGATGGCTATCGGATGTGTGAGTTTCTAGTGGATTGTATTTTCTATGAAATTAGATGTGTGCATTACACGTGGTCAGTATTTTTAGAAAATTAAATGTTCATGTTATTGTTCATGTGTCAATATAAAGTAATGCTTTATACCTGTAGCTACCTTTATGACTGACCCTTCAATCGGCCTTTGGGACCTTTGGGGGCCCTTCTTCTTCTGCTAACGTTCTCTCATAAAGAGACCACCCAGATCAAGTAAATGGTTACCAGAATCTCTCAAAGAATCCATTGTTTTATGATTTGGATGAGTATCAACTGTCCAAAACTATTTCTTCCAATGTAACATCTACCTGGGGACTAATTATCAGACCACCGCTGAGTTGCTGCAACACAGTAGGTAATTCGGCCTGTGATTTGCTCAGGAGAGGAGGCAGAAAAACATAGACATGGCCAATCTGGACAGAAATAAAATCACTGAGCAGCGCCTGTAAAAGAGGAAATGACCTCAGGACCCTGTCCGAATCGAGCTTACGTTTGTACAGAGCCACATTCGTCATCATCAACAAAATTCACTTGAAGCTGACCAGAAATTGCTGTTTTGCTTGACAAGTCAGCAGCTGGTCCTTTTTTTGGTATTGTTAAGATGAAAAAAAAGGAAACGGCAGCTTTGCTTATCTAGTTTTAAGTGTGCTAACTAGTGGCTTTAAAGAAACACAATATCCCATGAGTGAATATTATCAAAACCTGGTCAGTGCATGTGCTGGTTGTTGTGAAGGGTCATGTTTCCCTTTATTGATGATACTTAATTGGTTTCTTTGTTATATAAAAGCTAGACATAAACAGGTGTCCATGGTACTGCTGGCTAATAAAAATATAGCTTCCTATGAGCCAGCCTGCTGTTTTCAAGTTTCTTTTAATGGTGTCTTTGTGAGCAGTAAAAGCTAGTTTAACACAGGTAACCAGGGCAATGCTGGCTAGTAAAAGCCTGACTGCATACACATCAAATTACATAGTTAACCTGCTGCCTTTGAATTCAGTAAGAGGTCATTTATAAGAGTTTAGATTTTAAGAGGGCAGTTTGAATGGGACTTTTTCAAAATTCCTGCATGATTCAATTGTTGACATGCAACCAAAGTGATTCAGGGTGGCTTGATGTGAAATGTTTGACTGTAGAGAAACTTACAGACTCTGATTTCTTTACAGTGGTGGTGATGGGAACCAGGGGTCACAATGTCTACAACACAAATATATCCAGATTATTTACAAAACAAGTGAACCTACTTGTGTCTTCTAAGTTTTACATGCAATGCTGATGATGGTAACATAGTGGTACATCTGCAAAAATATAATATACTTTTCCTTACAGTCCCATGCATGTGTTTTAAAAATATGTTTTAGACCAAAACCTTCTCAAAACTATCATCAGACAATGTGTCAGTTATCAGGCAGCGTATTCATAACTGTCTATTCTACTCACTTTATGTGAGGGAGCTTTTAGAGAGACTTTGGATGTCCTATCACAACCACTGTGAACAATTCGGACTCATTTCTCTAGAATGGCTCATCTCATATCAAAACATTCTGAATGAGTTTAGTCTTCTGACTAAGCTAGGATATGTATTAAAAATGATAAACGTAAGAAGTCCCATCATGTTGCACATTAGGGCTGAAATTCGCTGATAAACCTTCGTCCTCAAATGTCATGCGGCACAACAAAGGACTTTTATTCTAACATGTGGTGCAATGCCAAGGTCAGTAGCTGTTTCACAAATATAAGTTATGGTTATTGTGGTTCAGTTTACCAAATGAGACCCAAGGAAACCCATGAAAAAATTGTATTAAAATGATGTTTATTTATTTCAGTTGGAGGATGGTGTTCCAAGTACAAAGGCTAGTTTACACATGTTTTCAGTGGTGGGTAAATAACTTTAAAATAGAATATTGACTTTTTTTCCCCCAAGTAATACCATAATAAAAGCCATGGAACACATCAGTAAATTGAAGAGATTCTTGCAGACACAAAAATGCATGTTTCTCTAAAATGGCTCATCTCATATCAAACATTCTGAATGAGTTTATTCACTTTTCAACCATTTCATTTCCCAGATATTTAGAAAACTGCTGGAATTCCCCTTTAACAGAGTGAGAGTCTATTCTCAAAAATTGAGATTTCTATTTTGGCACTGCTTCCAAGATAGAGGAACACTGGAGGCACTGGCTGTATCAGCTCCATGTAAGGTATAATGTGTTTTTTTGTTGCTGTGTTGGCTATGGTGGCAACTTTCCCCCCTCGTTCTGTCTGGTACAAAGTCTAATTCCAAGCCTGGAGGTGCTCTTTTTTGGT